GATTGCCTATTATTATCAATCACTGATACCCGTGTGACATCACTACAGATGCGCGCCTCCCTCTTGTTGTACTATTATCATTGTGCCTTGTGATTATTTTCGTTATTCATGCATTTGTGGCTTATGCTTTTTGAAGTAAAACTGCTTGGGCGGCGGTCTGATATTTAGACCACAATAGAAACTAATTTGAAAGACACGTCACGTTTTGGCAAATTTGGTTTAACGAGAGAGAACTGAGAGAAGAAATATATAACGTAGAGGAACGGAGAAAGACAGCCAATGACAATGATAGCCGACGAATGATTGACACAAACCAAGGATTATAAACTATTGTTTAGCGCCGATACCAATCTGTGCCGATTCCGTTGTGACGTGTCACTACAGATGCGCGTTTCCCTTCGTCTTTACCTCGACCCATATGCTGTCTAAAAGTTGTATGTGAGGGGGATAAATGTTCCGTTTCACTAATTCTACCACGTGTACCGCGCTGCACATGATCTTTTTTCCATATTTTAAGTACTTGTTGATGTATATTAAAAAGCGCAGGAAAAATCAACAGCTTTTTCTTCACTTGCGTCTTGCAACAGTCTACGCCAAGGCGAGAAAGCAAGGATAATATAATCTGTGCATTCAGAGGTTACCCATAAGCTGTAAAACACAGGGCTGACATAAATAAGTACAAGACCAAGTGAACGAATTTACATTTAGTTCTATAATAGTTATTTATGATATAAGTGCTAAAAGTGACATTTTATTTTGTGAAAAGGGAAGTTTGGGACACGACGCCGAAGGCGGAGTGTTCCATCCCTTTGAACAAAATAAAATCACTTTTAGCACGAATATCATACACTATTTTTTCTACACACGCACTAAAAGTGATTACTTTTAGCACTAGTGCTAAAAGTCATCACTTTTAGCACCAGTGTCAAAAAATGGCATTTTAGACACTGACAGCATCCGTTAAAAACTACACTTTTAGTGACGTTTGTAGAAAAAGTCCTTTTTCAAACTAATTTTAAAGTTTTTGAGTTACCCACGTCGGAAATCAATGTCTATAGAGTAATTGCCTATTTAAAATTTACTCCATATAAAAATATTACTTGACAAAATTATATTTTCAAGTAACTTTGAAAAATGGTACATCAGCACCTGAATTAATATAGGGCCTGTCAAAGTTTTTGAATAAGATTGAAGGAGCATTTACATTCACTTCCAACTTCAAGTTAAATTTGACGTTTGATATTTTATCATTTACATTGCAAAATAAAAACATCAAGTAAAACGTCAGAATTTCATGAGCATCATTATAACAATGAACTCTAACCAAAAACTGGAATGGTAACACATAAGAAAGAACGTGAAGCCTAGTGCAGCTGCTGCGGAGTCTGCGGAGGGGATACCTGTTTTTGTCGCACTCATTATGTTAAATGGCGAAAATTGCTTCCAACACGTAATCCAATTGATGAAACCTGTGAAGGAAAATATGACAAAACTTTCGAAAACGTCATATGTCAGCGAGCAACAGAAAAAAACAACATTCCCCCTTGCAGAGCCGGGAGTAACGACAAAAAAAAGTTACTTTACTTTAACGAGTTACTGAAAGTAACGCGTACAGAAAATTTGTTTTGAAAGCTCAAAATAATCGTTTTTGGGCGTGCCACGCGCCGCCTCTGCTCTAAAGACACTATATGCAGACACTGGGATGCTTCAAAGAGCAGGTTTGTCCAAAACCAAGTGCTCTATTCAGTCGCTAATCCTTAATCCGTTTGAATTTTGCAAGAATACTCTTCCACATAGACGGACTCACAAACTAAAAAAATATTGGAATTTCGTATAGCTTATTTGATTGTTTGGACTGCTGTGTTGGTGAGTCAAATTAAGAAATAACGCAATTTTCGACGTAAATAGTTATTTTTGAAGTAACGCGTTACTTTAAAAATAAAGAAGTTACTTTCAAAGTAAAGAAGTTACAGTAACGCGTTACTTTCCAATAAGTAACGAAAATAAAGTTATCATTATTCGAAAGTAACTGTAAATTTTAAGTAACGAGTTATTTTTAAGCAAAAGTAACTGTAAAGTAACGCGTTACTTTTTTCAAGTAACGATCCCAGCTCTGCCCCCTTGTGGCATCTGTCTTTCATGGCTTCATTTTTTGGGCAGATATGGCAATGTGCGCGCATTCCAGTTTTTGGCTATAGTTCATTGGTTGGGAATAACTTAAAAATTTGACATTTCACAAATGGCAAGCAGCTCGCTCAAATTTGAAGTGCACTTCGAAGTGAACTTCAAATTTATTTCAATGTAGGCCGAGTTCGTTTTTGTCATCTTTTTCGTCTATTTGCTCCGAAATTTTGACAGGCACGTGATTTGTAAATTGAAACTGACTTATTCAGTCACATGTCTGTCAAAATTTCGGAGCAAATCGACGAAAAAGATGACAAAAACGAACTCGGCCATAAATGGATCTGTGCTACCGCCATATGGCAAGCACGTCAATTTCAACACAAATTGGACTTCGAAGTGAATGTAAATGCAGCATAAAGCCCGGGACACATCTATCATGCATTCTTCCGATCCGACTCCGATCATACAATCAGGGTCCTTATTCTTGGAACAGGGAGCAGTGTCCCAATACGTTCTTCTGGGAACGCTGCTCTCCTGTTCCAAGAATAAGGACCTTGATTGTGTGATCGGAGTCGGATCGGAAGAATGCATGATAGATGTGTCCCGGCCTTTATACGGTAAAAAGAAATACCCGAACGGCTGGAGTGCGAATGGAGTCACTCGGAGTGCACGGAGTAAGCAAGCCGAACCCACCTAATATAGGCAATATTTTGCCAGTATAACCAAGCATAATCTTTTGCTGGATTATGTGATGTGTCAATTGTGTCAGACTCTCCTAAGAGCCCTAACTCCCCCACCATTACATTCTCGGATACTCGAGGATCCAGAACACTTTATTTGTTCTTTCGACCGAAAATCACTTTTTCTACATTTAAAATCGACGAAAAAATTAACTCACTAGCACTGCCTGAATCACAAGCATTCCATCGCGGTCTGCGCGTGACGTTATCAGTATAAGCTGCTGACAGTGACTTCACTCGCAGGCCCAGAATTTGATGGGTAAGAGTTAAGCCTGATTCATAAACTCTCCGTCACCGTTTCCGTTCGTTGTAGCCGTTCGTGTCGTTCCTGATGCACTTTGAGCATTCATAAACTCTAAAGCGCTGCCGTTCCCGCTGACAAATTGTATACATTTTCAGGTCAGATTTTGGGTTAGATTTATCTTGTCGTATCCTGGTATAGATAGTCTCCTGTGTTTTTTTCTCTAAACTCTAGAAAATAAAGTTTTTGTACAAGCTCGATGACAAATGCACATCAAACATGTACCAAAATATTTATCTTGAATCACATGACTAAAATTGTCCAATTTGATTTTCTACTGCACGAACGACGAACGGTGAAGTTAAAACTTTGCCAAGATGGAACGGTGGCGCTGTTCCCAAGAGAAACGACGAACGGGAACGGGAATGGTGGATATGATTACATACACTGATTACGCATTTGTGAAGTTGGAACGGAAATGGCAGCGACGACCGGTGACGGGAACGGTGGAGTTTATAGAGGCTTTCCCAGCTGACTTGTGTTCAAGCAAGGTGCAGCACAGTGTTCTGTGTTTGAAACGCAAAAGTTAGCAGCTCTCGAAGCGCAGTACGGCTGGAACACGAACACGCGCGCAAAAGCTCGATTGCGTGCTCAAAAGCGTCAGCTGGAAAGCGGCTTATGAATCGGGCTTTAGGCCAGTTAGGGGGGACCATTGACACATGACATAACCCAGCGTAAAGCCTAGTACTCATAACTGCGAAATTCGCATTTTTTTGACATTGCGTTGAAATTTTGATGTTTTATGCGTGTATCAAACGTCAAATTGTCGAAGCAATGTCAAAAAAATGCGAATTTCGCAGTTATGAGTACTAGGCTTAATCCTGGTATTCTTTCGATCGAACAAAATTGTGATCACATGAGGTTTGTTCATAAGGCATTAAAAAAACAGCTGGGGCCAATGAAATCGTTGTAACATCGGATGAAAATTGTTTGAGACAAACCTCAACTGATTTCGATCAGTTTGTTCAGATCGAAAGAATACGCCTATGATTATGCTTAATTACCTTAGAGCAGGTAAATAAAGCGCTATCCTACGGACATAAGGAGTAGGAACGCGCCATTCTGCTTATGAAACAAAAGTGAAGCCAAGTTTTTGGCAGGTGTTTGGCACCTCTTTACCTTTACCTGCTCTAAGTTAATCACCCTCACCAAAAATTGCCTAACGATGGAAAAATGGCGTTCGTTCGATGCGGACCAAAGATGCGGACTTCATTGATGCGGACTGATCATTTTGACAAAACAGCGTTCATCAGAAAATTGATGATCATTGATCGCTACAGTAGCGCTACGTCCTGATGAACGATACCACACCTTCGATTGACGATTATCGTCTATCGTCAGCTACTTTTGCACGAGTTTATTTGGCTTCAGTAGCTTCATACGGTGGACTCCCTGTGACTGCGTTTGGGTTGACGCTCGGGGCGGTCGGCAGAGCGAGTAGAATTAGTCTGAATGGAGCTTGGAGCGTATTTTCGTCTCAAGAGAGTAGAGCTCCCCGAGAGAACAAACTTTTCGTGTTTATCATTCTCGTTTACTTTTCGATAACGTTCAAAGGGACAAAACATTCGTTCTATCTGGGAGCTCTACTCGCTAAGACGAGAGAGAGTGGTCGGGGTCGGGTGATGAACGCTACCAGTCTATCGTCCAATTGACAATTGACACTATTGACACTGACTCATTTTTTCTTCCTTGACCTTGATCCTTCACAATAATAATAAATAATAATAAATCACAATCCAACAATTTCCAAGTTCCAAGCGTGTATTTGGAAATTAAAGTGTGAAAAGTAAAACATGTAGGTACTATTTTTTGCTGCAACTCCAAGCGTATCCAAAATGGCGACATTTTTAAGTGAAATCCATTTTTGGACGACACAGGAAGACATTGTTGTTAAAGACACTGATTATGGTTCCTACAAGTAAGTGAGACTCAATACAATATCTAATCTTAAAACTAACCCAAAGGTTCCTACAAATTGGGGTAGTTTTGACTTTCCTAAGATAACTGAACCTATTGTAAAGGACAGCATAAAAAAATTAAAGCCCAAAAAGAGTGTCGATACTGATAATATTCCCCCCTTTATTTATAATAAGGGATGTGTGGATGTCTTAGCCAAGCCACTTGCTCATCTGTTCAATTCTTATATCGTAAAAAGCATCTTTCCAGATAAGCTTAAGGAAACAATGGTTATTCCACTGCATAAAAAGGGTAATGTTTGTGATGTAGAAAACTATAGGCCATCAATATGTATCTTGAATTCCTTGTCAAAGATCTTTGAGACAATATTGTGTTGTTTTATTTCTGAATATAAATAAATAAATAAATAAATAAAACGTTTATTATGCAACATAACAAAAAGTTTACATTACATAAAAGGTAAACATTCACATACCCAACAAACACAAGTACGTCTTTAGTACGTCCATAATTCGTACTTTTTCGGACGAAAGTACGTCCGGGGACGTACTTTTTAGGTCCCGCCGACGTACGAGGGACGTCTTTAAGACGATCGTTTTCCACAAAATAGTGCGTCCCACGTACGTACATTCAGGGACGTACTCAGTACGGCTTTTTAGGTAGGTGTTGGGGACGTACATTAACGTACGTATTTAGTATAGCTTTTTAGGAATGTGTTTGGGACGTACAGGGTTTTCCCATATATTTTTTTGCACCTTACCAGAACTGGTTGATTGAATAGGTATCAAAAATATGTAAATAAAAATGTTATATTTACACCTTTTTGATACCTATTCATTTAACCTGTCCAGATGGGGTGCAAAAATATATGGAGAAAACCCTAAACATAGAGGTACGAGGTACGTATTTATGTGTAGGTATCTTTATAGTGAAAAATAAAACCATATAAATATTTATTGTATTTTCAAGTTACAATTTTCATACTCAATAAATGCCTCAACAATAACACTAAAAAACTGAAAAAAATTAACACAATATCAAATATACCATACTCTTAAACTTAACCTTATTGAACAACAGTACATACCTACCTAATATAACAAAAAAAATGAAGGAAAAGTGGAGAAAAATTCCAACCTAAAAAAAATATACAGAAATAGATAGGTATTCTACAAACATAATAATATAGAGAATTGTAAAGGGGCATAAACCAGAAAAAGTTTCACACAGTAATAATATTGGTTAAAAGTATTATTATACACACAAAATACATAGTAAATTGGTATAGCCAAGCCGCGAAGCTGCCAAGCTAAACACTTAAACCACAGTTTCGGCGTTGCTGCAATCAATACAAAATGGTTCTCGCGTCACTTGATTTGGCAAAAAAAAACAAAAATAGAAGAAAACAAAACCTCACAGTCCTCACACCACTCTACAAACAGACTACAAACGAGCTACAAACACAAGAGGTAAAAAGGCAAAATCAAACAGGAACAACTCAAGCACGGCGTCATATCAAAATGATGAGCCCTGCCAGTGTTGCCAGATGTCAAATTCAAAATTATCAGAAGAAGTTTGTGTCAATTTTTTTGACTTTCATCTCTAATCTCTATTTATATTTTTCTAACGAAAAAATTAACGAAAAAGAAACGGTGCTGCGAGCTCAACTCATTTCTAGTTGGTAAATGTTTGGTGTGCGCCCAGCAGTACGTCAAAACCACCAACCAAATAAATTTTTAATTTTCAACTAAAAATTTTAAAAATATGCATTGAAATTGTAGTTTCAATAATTTATGGTAGATTTAGCTTCTGATTATTGAATATTGAATCGTAGTCAAAATTATGGTAGATTTCGATAATTATCGGGTCATTGGCAACACTGCACCCAGTGCACACTGCACCCTGCCGTAGCCAAGCGACCGAAACGGCGGCGTCCCTTGTTTTCCACTCATTGGTTTATTTCTTGGTTCATTTCATGTTTATTTTAAACATTCGACCATTTATTTAGTTCAGGTACCTAAATGAACTATAAATCCTTGATTATATGACCTGCCTCACAAAACATTTATAATGACAATGTATTCTTATTTATTTAAGTTTAGATTTAAGGTTTAATAATAGGAATCCACGTCAGCCTGCATTTGGTTCACATACATTTGGTTTAGTAGGGTTTAGAGGTTAATTTGGAAGGCTTCCGTATATTCTGCTCGGAAATTGCATATTATTTAAAAATATATTATGATCAGGAATTGATAAAAAAAATCATGAATAGATGGGAATGATCCAGCTCGTCTTGTATTGTTCGTCTTTGAAACGAACATGTACGTCTTCTACAAGACGTACGCAATATAGATTTTCACGTACGTTCTTAGTACGTACTTTTTTGTCCGTATGTTAATACAGCTTTTTACGTACGTACTCAAAACGTACTTTTACATCCCGGACGAACCGACGTAAAAAGGACCTAAAATGTACGTCTTCAGTACGTATTGTGTTTGTTGGGTAGTGTTCTTCCATGCTACCTTGCTTTAGAAAACAATAATTTTCACAGTTTATGTGTTTATTTGTTGTGCCTGCTGTAGAAGGCAAGACTTATATTTCTTTTTGAAATTAACAATTGTGCTTGAAGTTATTAAGTTGAAAACATCTGAATTTAAAAGTTGTATTGCTTGAAAAGAGAAAGAGTTTCTAAATTTTGCTGTTTTATGCTGAGGTATGTGAAAGCGAACCATATTTCTTAGATTAAGATTGTGTAAGTCTTGCCTCCCGATAAAATACTTCGCCAAGTAACTCGGGCAGCCCAATTTAAAAATTTTACAAACAAATTGCCCAAAATGCAGGACAGCACGTTGCTCATATTTTAGTATGCTGTTTGCTAAATATGTGGGAGTCACATGATCAAACTTTCTTACACAGAAAACAAATCTTATACAAGAATTTTGTGCAAGTTGTATTTTGTTTTTATATTCGGAGCTAAGAAAATGGTAAAAAACTACGCTACAGTAGTCCAACTGAGGAAAAATTAGTGCTTCAACCAGCATCAGTTTAATCTCACTAGGTAGGATGAATTTAAAAGGATATAGACTTCGCAGCTTGGCATATACAAATGACAGCTTTTTGTTTACGTGTAGCTGAAAGTCGAGCCTCTCATCAAAGGTAACTCCCAGATTCCTGGCTGACTCTGCAGAGGGCAAAATAGATCCATTAATATGTAAGGTTGTGAAGTTATATTGGAGAAATTGTTGCCTATTATTATTTGAACCTATAATCATATAGTGACTTTTTGTTGCATTCAGCACCAAGCCATGTTTTGTTGACCATTTATATATTTCCTCTAGATCATTATTTACTCTCTGCATAGTCAGACACGAATCCTCTGGAGGAAAACCAACCAGCAGCTGGGTATCATCAGCATAGAGGTTGACTGAGCAAGTCCTAACCTGCTGTGGAAGATCACTTGTGTAAATATTGAATAATAAGGGGCCAAGTACACTTCCCTGTGGGACCCCAAGTGACGTCTCAACAGGCTCTGATCTTGCCCCCTCAAGCTCCACAACCTGAGTTCTTGGTTGGAGATAACTACTAAACCACAAACAGACCCTCTCAGAAAAACCATAGTACCTCAATTTCGAGACTAAAAGATCATGATTGATTAGGTCAAATGCCTTGCTGAAATCCAGTAGGACCAAGCAGGACACTTTCGAGGAATCAATGTTTGTAGCAATTTCAGTGGTTACATTTGTGAGGGCTGTAGCAGTACCATGGTTCTTTCGAAAGCCTGACTGTGTTACAGGTATAATACTATAATTATCAACAAATTCCAAGAGAATATCTGATACTATAAATTCAAACATTTTTGCAAACACTGGCAGCAGACAAATGGGTCTCAGCTCAGAAAAATTTTCTATTTTGTTGTTTTTTGGTAAAGGCCTAATCAAAGAGGTTTTCCATATTGTTGGAAACTCTCCCGTTTCCATAGACCTGTTGACAATTTCAGCAACATAATATGCAACACTATTTATGCTAAAAAGTATCATATTGTAGCTTATTTTATCTATGCCCATGCTTTTTGACTTAATTCTCTTAAACGATTTGAGTACATCATATTCGGAAATTTTTACAAAATCAAGTGTATTATCATCAGGTCTCTCAAACCTGTTAGAGTTATAAAAATTGAGGAGAGTATCATCAACCGCAACAGCTAACTGACTCACACTGGCAAATGCTTGACTAATTTGGTTAACATTTTTTAGGTGTTCAGGTAACTCACTATTAGTTTTTGAGTGGATGTTCCAGTTACTCACATCAGACCATAATTTTTTTGTGTTTTTTTTGTGTTTACTAAGTTCAAAGTTCATGTATGCTTGTTTTTCACTGCGAATTGCAAATGATAAGTAGTTTTTGATGTCTAAATAAAAAGATTTATGCTCCACTAGGCCCGTTCTTCTAAATTTCTTAAATGCTTTTTCCTTTAATTTAATGATTTCCCTTATGGTATCCGTAATATACGGTTTATATTTATGTTTTATCACAGCGGATTTTAGTGGAGCGTGCCTATCGAAAATGTCAGTTAATTGCTCGTTGAGTACTAGCACCATACTATTTACAGATTCCTGTTGCATGATTACGTCATAATTTATATGCTGGAGATCTTGCTCAAACTCGAGTTTATTAAAATGTTTAAAATCTCTATATGTAATTGTTTTTTTAACTAGTTTGGGAGCTACAATACTTACTAGAGAATAAATTAGTCGATGGTCAGTCATATTGAGCATACCCATAGTGCCACTGTTAAGAACATCTATATTATCATTTACACAAATAATATCTATTAAAGTTGAACTATTTCTACTTACCCTTGTCGGGTCAGTAATAATTTGTTTCAAACTGAATACTTGCAACAGGGATTGCAAGTATTTGTACTCCACTGAGTTAGACAAGAAATTGATATTCAAATCTCCCATTAAGATAACATGATTATAAGTTGCATATAAACTAGAT